CCACCGCCTCCACTTCGCTTCGACTCTCCTACCCTTCTGCCCGTCTTTCGCATCCACCTTCGTACTTTTCCTGCTCGCTCGCCCGTTTCTTCCCTCTGTCTCTTTCTTGCTCTCTTCTCTCCGCCGCGTCGCTTGCCCTGCCCTCCCATCGGCTCTACGTTTCCACCTCGACGTTTGCTTCGGGCTAAAATAAAAACACGAGAGAGATAACCGAGCGAGACGACGGCCGAACGCGAGACGAGAGAACGAAACGAGACAAGAGGAAGAGAGACGACGCGTCGAGGAGAGACGGAGAACGCAGCGGAGAAGAGGAGGAACGCGTAAAGGCAAAGGAGAAAAAGGTGAAAAAATCAAATGGGAAGACGGTGCAAAGGAACCGAGGTAAAACGATCGAGGAAAAAAGGGAAAAAGAAAAAGATCCGGAGGAAAGGTAACGCGAAGGAACCGCGTGAACGAGAAGTACCGAGAGCAACGAGAAGCTCTAGAATCGAGAAGAGGAAACGCGGAAGGGAATAGATCGAAACGTGATCGAAACTGCAGTCTGCGAACGTGAAATCGAAAAAGTCGAAAAGTCGCTGTTTTGCTCTCCTCTATTTTTCGTTTCGTCCAACGCGCGAAACGGCTCGATCGATCGACGGACGCGCGACGTCGTTCGAAAAAAACGTTTGCTCCCTTCTTACGCGTCGACCGTATCGGCGAAACCTAGGTCTCGATACCGCGAACGGCGCAGGATCCTGAACACGGACCGAAAAACAAAATGAAAGTTGGCACGAGGGAAGAAGAAGCCGCTTTGGGTGAAAACGATCGAAATCGTGCCTCGAGATCGATGGAGTTCGAAGCGTCCGCTGAAGTTTCGCGCGACTAGCGCGACTACGCGTGAAACCCCGTTGAACGCGACGCGACGGCCACGCGTGTTGTTCACATTTTTTCTCGGCTACGAACGGCCACGATAGAAGAAATCGGAAAGAAAAGTACGCGTTTCGCGTTTAGAATTCGCGATCGAACCATGTCTGCTTATCTGAAACGCTGGATATCCGCGTTTCATAGACGATTCGGGTATTCCGAACTTAGGGAATAACTCCGAGTAACTCGGAGGAGATCGAATCGCGATGAATCGAAGGCGAAAAAAAACGGAGTGGACCGGATATCGATCCTATCGGTAAGGTCTCTAAGGTAATCGAAATCGTTCGGCGCGTTTTTCTTACCGAATCGAAACGCGATTTCCGGCCACGTGGCGCCGTTTACTTTGTACGCGCGTTTCCTCTATTTTTCGTTTCGATTCGTTTCGATTCGTCGGTGGTTGCTTGATCGAAAATTTATTCGCCGCTCGTCCGCGGTCGCCGCGCCCGACAGCCGCGCTCGCGTTCCTTTCCTTTTTTCTCGGTTGCTCGCGGCTGACAATCTCGCGAGGGAAACCGCGCGAATCGCGAATTACGCCGAGAGACCGCAGGACGGCTAGTCGAGAAACAACGGATATATCGGTCGAAGCGAAACGTAGCCTTGACCTATTGGCGCCCTTGCGTCTGCTCCAAACTTCTCGCGGTTTGGCTTCGGTTGTTCGAAGGCGGAACGCGTTTGTCCTTACGCGTTTGGTTTCTCGCTCGAATATTCGAGCAGCGAGCTAGAACGACGTTCCCTCGGAATCCGTGGACCGGTGTCCGCCGGCTATAGCTTACATTTTTTGGCCGTCGAAGGTATCGCCGAACGACGCCTAATCTAATAAGGGAAATAGCAAAAGAAAGAGAAAGAGCGATACGTCGAAGAAATTATACTCTTTCGTGAAACGAGGGCACGACCAGACCTTGCGCAACGAATACAAATGCTACCCTCTGTATCCCTTCGAGGCGCGTGACAAAATTGTTAAAAGGTTCGGGCGCAGGAAAGCGAAGAAGGGTTTAGTCCGTGAACGGTGCGGACAGCCATTTCGGCGACGACACGAAACGCGTTTTCGAGACCCATAATCGTACTCGCATCCGTCGCTCCGACTCTGGTCGATGAAACCGCGCGTTTCGAGCGCCGCGTTCCGACGGCCGACGCTCGCCGGCCACGTTCGAACGAACGAACGAACGAACTTTCTTCGATCGAGAAAACGCTTCTCGCCGTTAAACGACGATAACGCGATCGCCCTACGGAACTTACATCTTATAATGGTGTTGCATGTGATGAGCCAAATGTAAATCGGCGGGGTGTTGTTGTAGCTGCTGCTGCTGCTGCTGCTGCTGCTGCTGCTGCTGTTGTTGTTGTTGTTGTTGCTGTTGGTGCATAGCCTGATGATGATGAGTTTGCGGGGGATCCAGGCTAGAGGCACCCAACAGGGTGGCACTCTCCCTAAACAACGTTGCGACCTGCATCCTGGTCGATCGTTTCTCGCGCTCCGGGACGAATCACCGGTTACGTCCGTTCGACGACGGACCGTACCAAGGTGTCTCGTATATTATTCCTGGTCCTCTCCTCGTACGCGAGTTTCGACACGGAAACGAGAGAGGAGAACAGTTAGGAAATAAGCAAAATCCAGTGGTTCCCGACACGACGCGACGCGACGCGACGGCTCGAACGCG